ACTGGAGGTGTTGTGACCTTCTGATGAACCATGGGGTGAAGATGTGAGCCAAACTCACCCTTCCTGCCTGTGTAGAAGATAAGGAAAATAAATGGCACCACATAAAGCAGCTCAGAGGTCCTGTCTCTGACTCATTCACAACTCCTCACAAATCCTCACAGGCAAGTCTGCAGCAAAGGACCAGAAACCACAAGCTGGGGATGCCCCATGTGCTCTGAGTGGCTAGGAACAGTGTTCTAGTTCCTGCTGCTCCTTGCCTGCAGCCTAAAATCTGTTCAGGGCTGGGGCTGTGGAGAACACTGAGAGAAACCCTGAGGTATTTGTAGAGACACTGCACCATGGTGGATCTGAGGCTTTTGTGGTAGCTCATCCCTCATGCCATGGGAATTCTTGTAAGGAAATGAAGATTGTGGTCTCCTTAGAGACTTCCAGCTCTGCCTGGAAAACTGGGCTCCCAAAACATGGAACAGGTGTACTCTTCCATCATCTCTCTCATCTTTGTGTCACAAGCCTGAGGCAAAGTCACAGTGCTGCTGGACCCATTGCTTGCAGTACAGAATTAACAGGATGAGCAGCAGTACTCCCCTCTGCACACAGCAAGAGGTAAACACTCCTTTGAGGTTGGAGAAGGGAGAAGTCCTTCCACCACTGTTTACAGATGTAAACACTCCTTTGAGGTTGGAGAAGGGAGAAGTCCTTCCACCACTGTTTTCAGATGTAAACACTCCTTTGAGGTTGGAGAAAGGAGAAGTCTTTCCCACTGTGCTTTCCTGAGGTCCCTGTGTGGCTCCTGGGCAGTTTGTGTTGTGTCCTAGGAGCAGGGGCAGTTCAGACTGGTTGTGGTGGTTACTGCCTGTGTACAAACCCTGTGTGGTTCCTCCCTAGGCTGGGGGCAGCTGGTACAACACAAGTGTTTTCCTGCCTGAAAACCCTTGTATTGTACCAGCTGCCTGTTGTCTTAATATTTTCCTGGTTGTGGTTCTTGAGACTCTGGCTTCGTGTGGCTGTAACATTGTCTGGTATGCTAACCCAGTTCCCTGTTGGAATTGTGTTACAGCTCTGCTGGGCAGCATTAGTTTCAAGTGGTGACCTAGTTAATGGGCACTGCTGGGAAGTGTGGGTTTGGTTGTTAACACCTGGCCTTCTTTCCTGCCATGTTCATTCTGCACTTGCTGGAATGCTCTAGTTTATTCTACAACCCATTTTTCAAATAGAAGGAATCTTCCTGCCACCATTATGTGGTTCTCTGGCAAATAAAACAAATTTAACATTAATTCATGAGAGCTTTCCAAATGTTGTATCACTGCAAGTAAATGAATTTTGGAAGTAAATTGTCTCCTCTTGAGAGGCAGTGTAGAAATGGTTGTAGTGTGATACTGAGTGAGAATAGGAAAATAATATGAACATGACACAGAGGGAGGAAACTGCCCTTGCCATATTTTGTTCTAGGTAGAGAAAGGCTGCAGTGGAAGTCTCTAAACAGTCTGGTATTTTCACCTTCTTACAGGCCTTTTTTGTTGCACAAAAGACTGATTGTACTGCTGGAGAGTAACCTGCACTTTTCTTTCCCTGTCCCCAGACCAGTGTGGTTAACTACATTGACCAGAGAACTAAACCAGGGAGTGACCAGCTGTTCTTTGTGGTGTTTGAGTGGAAAGACCCTTTCATACAGACTGTTCAGGACGTGAGTAACCCTCCAGTCCCCTCCTGAGTCACTGTCTGAGTGTGCAGCTCGTGCTCTGTGTGTGCATGCACCTCCTCTGTTACCTCACCCCACGAAGAAATGCAGACAAGAGTGAGGATACCTCTGAAATTCCAGTGTAGGCTCTTCCTTATGTCCAGTAATGCATTCTGTGTGGAGGTCAGGGCCATGTGGTGCTGTTCCTTGGGCTGGTGACACTCAGCATCCTGCTTGCAGCTAGAGGTGCCATGTGGCTAAGAAAATCCCCTCACAGCAAAGGGTAGCTTCAGGGCAGAGCTGAAATTTTTGCTTTAGTAAGTCTGCTGCATAATCTGATTTAATGACTTCTTTTTTTTAATTGACAAGAAACCTAGGCTGAAATAAGAATAATAAAAATAGCCTAGTGTATTTTTTATCCATTATTAGAATGAATTCATTAGAATAAAATGTGCTACTGTATTTACCTGACAACCAAGATCCAGGAGCAGCAAAATCTAGAGTGTTGGTGTTTTCTTGCCCAAAACCAGAGTGTGAATGCAGACTGTGTGGGACAGGAGCTGGTCCTTTGCACTCCTGCTGTCCCAGCAGGACCCAGGCCCCTCCTTGGCCTTCAGAGCCCAGTCCTATTCCCACAGCTCTCACTCCTCTCTACCTGTGTGGAATCAGATGAGGGGACTAATATTTGTCTTCTCTTTCAGATTATCACAGCAAACCCCTGGAACATGATTGCTCTCCTCTGTGGTATCTTTCTGGCCCTGTTTAAGGCAGCAGACTTTGCTAAGTTAAGTGTTAAGTGGATGATCAAGATCCGAAGAAGGCATCTGAAGAGGACTCGGCAAGTAACAAACCACATAAGCTGAGCCCAACACTGTTAGGCTTTTAACTGTTCATAGCAGGAGTGACAGAAAATAACTGGAATGAACTGCAATCAGCAATTCAAGCTGAAAACCAGGTATGTTTTATTCCAGAGAGATGCTGGCTGGAGGAACAGCCTCGTGACCCGGCCCTGGAATTGCAGAGGCGCTAACTCTAGGACAGGTCTAACAAACTCACGCTTTTCTAGTCCAAGTTTAACAAGTTTACCTGTGTGTATGGGGGAACCAGGGGGAATGAAGTGTACTCAGTCATGTTCAGAAAGCCATCCCTGTAGTAAATTGTGAAAAGTGGACAGTGTTAGAATGTTTCTCCAGCAGACCCTTTAGTTTCTGCATCAGCTGTGAGCTGCTCCCATAGCACAGTCACTGCCCTGATGGTGCTTAGTGGAAGGCAAAGTGCTCTGCAAACATCCTGGCCTCTCTTCTCCAAAGTGTACTTTAAAACAAAATACACTGGAATTTCGTTACATGTCATCTTTAAATCAAAGTACAATGACTTTAATATTAAAAAATACTTCAAGTAATCTACTGTGTGCCTTCTTTGAAACTACCTGCTCTCAGGTTGGGAAGGAGCTTCACAGGAGGCAGGAGTGCTGTGGCCTGAGGAGAAGGTGAACACAGATCAGTCCAGCTCAAAGGAAACTCAAACAACAGGACAACATGGGGAGGCTGAGTTGGTAGCTGATCTCAAAGTCTATCTCAGGCTGTTGTTTATCCCTCCTTCTCTATCCTTAGGAAAGACTTTTCCTAAGGAAGTGAAAAACAGTCTTTCCTCAGCAGGCATGTTACTGTGATTCTCTGTTCTGTGGGGAATGCCTGCTCACCAGCTGTGCTGGGGTGTTGGTGTCTTTTTCTTCCTTATAAGTCCCTTGTTAGCTGGGATGCCTGACCGGGACGTGTGGAGTCTGCAGGGAGCAGGGCACCACGGTGTGTTTGCTCTGAAGCCTTTGCTGCAAGGATGCCAACTCAGTTTGCTGCTTCCTTCCTCTTCCAGCAGAGTACTCAGAGGAGTGAGTGTGTCCAGTCACTTCCTAACCTTCCTTCCTTGTTTTTGGCATCTGAGGAAGCCTTTTGGGACAAAATTTCCTACTTTCAGCTGGCTTCCAGAGCAAATTAAGGCACTGCATTGACCAGCCAGCCTTAAACAGGGGAGCAACAACTCATTGCAGTAAGATAAATAAAATAGCAGCACTGGCTGTTTGGGGGAGAATGTTTACTCAGGGGACAAAGATGTTTGTATGGGAGAAGGTGGTGTCCAGTCCCCACTTCAGCATCTCACAAGGATGGTTCCTGTGCAGTAGTGCACAGCAAGGGAATGAGATTTAACTGGACAAGACCAGCAAAGGCCAAACACTGCATGGCTGTAGCAAAAAGAGCTACTCCATCCCTGGGTGATGGGCAACAGGACAGAAACCAGAATCCCCCACACTTAACCCTTCCACATCAAGAAAACCCCCAGACTTTACTACCTAACAGCCTATGCTATGGCAGCTGAGCTTTCTTGATGCCTCACTGCGAAAGGAACACCCAACTGTTCCTTGAACAAATGATATTTCTTGGATTTTCTAAAAAATACAATTTTCTATTCTTAGATTTTACAAAAAACAAACAACAAGAAATTAGAAACAATTGGAACCAGTTTTGATGGATCCTACTGTGTTTTTTCTTCTGTTTTTGCTAATGAGGTCAGAGAAGGTAAGCTGGAAGACCATGTAGCTGCAGCTGTGGGGTGAGCAGAAAGCATAGTTAAATAAAGGAGAAACTCCTTTTTGCAGTATGCACTATTTTTTCCCCTAAATAAACTCCCACAGCAGTCCACTTCAGTCACTACATCTCAGCTGTCAAGATGTTTTGTTTTATAAGGAAATGTTACAAGAGCAGACCAGTGATGCCAGCCAAGAAACCTTTCTTTTACATACCTATTTATAGGAGCAATCCTGACAGCAAGTGTTGCACAATTTGGAAGGCTATCTTGCAGCTCCTCTGTTGTTTTTTTCTATTACTTAATAAGCCTGATGTCCCTATTTGTAACTTTGGGAAAAACTTGTCACAATTACAAATGGCAGTGATTCATTCCTTGAACCCCTGCAAGGTGTTTGGTTCCCCAACGTTTCTGTAAGCTATTTTCATTTAGGCTCTGGGACAGCTGAACAAAGTTTGTCACACACTGGGAACTTTATTTTTCTAAAGGCAAAAAGGCACTGAAGCACTAAAGCAAGGTGAGCTGTGCTGGTGTGACTGTCCAGTCCCCTGCCCTCTGTGCAACAACTGCTTAGACACAAAAATGAAGCATCAAGTGCAATACAGCTGGCTCCACGGGTGGAGCAGGGACTTCCCCACTTCTGGCACTCAGTGAAAAGCCACACTGGACAGTTAAAAAGTTGTTTATAACAGCCATTCTAATTCTCCTGGTCTTCAGAAACACAAAGATGTGAGGTACAGCACTAAATACAAACATAAAGACTTTATTGAATGCTGCTCAATTCCCCAAAGATCTTTCATTACAAAATTTTTCCACACAACTGCAGTTTAAGAGATTGGAATGGTACTCTGATAAAAGATGTGAAAAAATACTTGATCAAGTAAACAGACAAGACTTCTATTGTCAACTTTCCAACTTTAAAAAACACTGCATTTTCTTTAAAGAAAACAAGGAGTAATTTCTTGACAGTCTTCCCTCCTTACTTAAAAAAAAAAAATACTAATGCCAATTTTGGTCTCATTCTTCAGTCCATGAGATGCTAATCCCACTGCAGAAACACCCAAGATGAATCTCTCTTGGAGACTGCAGCTCTCTGGAGGGTCCTTGGCTGATGAGGAGCATCATTGATGGGCTCTCCAGAGGAAGCTCCATCCTCAGCTGTAGCAGGAGGAAATCCCTAACTAGCCCAGGACCCCAGAGGCAGCAGCAATGGGGCAGAGGCCCTGGCCACCCCAACCTTTTGCAGCTGATTCTCTCCCTGCCTTCTTTCTGACATGAGCATTGTGTAAATCTGACTCTGAATCCAATCAGAATTCAAGGACAGCTCTGTATCTGAGTTCTCTCAGAGCTGTCAGGGGCATGTACTGAGTATCTCAGGTTACTGGGAACGTACCTTGGTTTTATTTGAGAAAATACAGCACAACTAGAAGCCTTTTCTATCGTCTTAACCAAAGTATGCAGCAATGTGAAAAGCACATATAAAACAAGGAAAAATGTGTACGTAGCAAACTATACCACCTATGTGCAACACAATCAAAAATTCAAGTCATAATTCTCACCACTCCCGTAATTATTTCACTCATTAAGGATGAAAACTCAGTTCTATGAAACATTGGAAGTGACAGTATATCAATAATTAGACAAATTTACAATATGTTGTGGTAATGACATCACTTAATTGCTGTATTTAAACTCAAATCTTTACATTTGCCAGAGAAAAAAGTTGGCTGTTTCCATTATACTGATGAGGTTTCTTTTGCAAATCCTTATATATTTCAAAAGGGTACAAAAAAAGAATGTCTGCTGAGTAGAGGTGGTCATTTCTTTTATTTGGCACTTGTGTTGTGTGCATTGAGCACGGTGTGAGTGCTGTTCTGCTTTTCTGCCATCGCCTTCTTAAGCTTTAACTCCTCCAACCTTCTCCACAACTCTTCACGTTCCAATTCTTTCTTTTTCTCTCTGAAGAAAGAAAAGAGTGAAAGATCAATTTCAGATGTGTTTTAAGCACAATCTGGAGACACAGTGCCTTTAAAGTATTAGTAGATGCAAGTCACAGTTAAGTTTTTCTCCAAAGCCATTTTTAGAGGCAATTACAGTTTCCTCAGTTAAAAAGAGAGGACAGCAAATAAGTAATGGTGAGTGGTGAAACTGTACCTTTGCTCCAGCAAATGCAGACAATTGCTGTAGGGTGGCTTTGCACAGCTGGCTGCTGCTTTAAGGAGGTTTTTTATCACATGCATGCAAATTCAGGGACTGAGCATCTTTGTGAGGGAGGAGCAGAGCTGCAGGAGGGGAGCTGGGGCCCTCCTGTCCCTCGCTGGGCTCAGCTCCCCCAGGGCACTGCCTCACTCAGGGGACAGCCAGCAGCAAACAGCTCCAGCACAGAGCACAGCAACAGCCACAGTGACAGCCTGGACACGCTCACCACTGGGGGCTGGGGAGAGGCTCAGTACCTTTGCCTTTCTGCTTTGTATGAGCTCGTGAGCTCATCAAAGAGCTTGCCATTCATTTCCATCAGGGTTTTCAGCACGTTGTACACCAGTGCCACAATGGTTCTGCAACACAAGGAGCACAGCCATGAGATCTACTAAGTGATAAAAACAAGCATTTGATTTCTCTTTTGGATTCCAAGCTTCTTATTCAATATACTGCTGTAAGGTCAGGGAGTTTCTGAAACAAAATCCTCTCCATTTTATTAATTTACAGAGGAAATTATAGTATAGTTAAACATTTTTTGAAATGGCTATTTAATCTTAAATGCCTGACTTCTGTAATTGCACAGGATATAATTATTCATGCTGTGGCCATTAAAGCCATTCAATTATGTGATCCTTTAATAAACCGAGTTTTAACAACAACTCTAACATTTGAGCAATGAAATATGAGAGTCTAGAAAAAGAAAACTTCTGGCTTGTAGCTTCAAGAAGGCAGCAGATAAACCACAGGCTTAGTGTGGTTTAGCACACAAAGCTCTCCTAGCAGTGTTTCTGGGCAGCAGGAGTCCTGCTAGAGAACGAGAATCAAGAACATCAGACAATGGATTTGGGTACCTCAGTTTCCTTAAGAAGCTTGAGCAACACTGGCTGTGTGTTACATGGCTGCCTGTATTCCTGCACTATCCTTCTTCTTGTGTAAGTATTCACATTTCAATAAACCATCTTAAATGTTATCTCCTTTAAACCTACTCATCTTTATACAAAGAAATAAAAAACCAATACAATTAAACATTAAAATGCCTGTCATTAAGCTTAACCACTAAGCAAAAAGCAGGTAAACTGCCTTTTCTGTTTTCTCCCTCACTAGCAGTTCCCACTGACTGCAAAGCTGCAGCCCTGTGACCTTGAAAGAGGAGTCAAAAACCCCCAAGGAAATAACCAAAGAGCCAGGTTTGCCTTTTCAGTGCACTCTGTCCATCGTGGTGGCACTAGGAAATCTCCCAGCTGTTCTTGAGAACCTTGTGCTCATTCCATTCAAAATGCACAGCATCCTTTGCCTGTTTATACACTTATTTTTTAAATTTGATTTTTTTATACCCTGGCTTTCATGTGGTTTGAGGTCAAAAGCTTGTTTAAAGTTTTGGTTTTCTGAGAGGAAAAGTTGGATTTTGAGCAAGGAGTCCCTATCAGACAACCAGATGGATAAAAGTATGTTTTGCTGCCCTCCAAAACAGATTAGAATCAAAGGATTATACTTTCTTCCCCAAACTTCCTTGTCTCAAGTAGGCAATTATCCTGTGTCTTCCACTTCCTTCATAAAGGGCAACTTCTGCCTGCAGAGAAGAAAGAGGGACATCCTCCAAACTTGTTGAGGTCCCATATACACTGATGCTCCAAGGACTATTCCCCAGGTTTACATTCAGTCTCAGCTGCTGTGTTTGCAGCTAGACACAGCATCTAGATAAACCCAGAATAATTGCAAAGCCTCCAAAGGCTTAAAACAGGACTTGTGTTTTACTGCAGGGCTGTGGGGGGCTCCTGCTCACCCTGGCTTTTGCCTGTAGAAACTTTATATTCTGCACACTACCTTGCAGCTTAATTCAGGGTGCTGGCACCAGCAAGCTTTGCTTTGCCGTATTTCAGTACCATTACTGCTTCTTTCAAACACAGAAATACCAATATTTAACTTTATATCTCATTTCTCATCCTACCATCCTTCACAAGGGTTGCTATTCTCTGATAGGATCTTTTCCTCTTCTTATCTCACTGATCAGCAATAAACATTTGTGAAGACACAGAGAGCTTTATTCATCTGAAGTATTAAAGGACAGCAAAGCACAAACAGAAGCAACCCTTGGAAATGGTTCTGGCCTAAGTAGCATTAATTTGCATTTTGAACTAACACAAAGGATCAGATGTGATTACAGTATAAAGATCATCATCCAATTTCCTCACACTTTTTCAGTAAATTTCAGGTCTCCATCGTAACAGTGAAGAACAGTGAAAAAACAACACAGCTGAAAGTGACACTTGATTTAATACCCAGAATGTCCACCCCAATGGATTTCATCTCATTTAAGTAAAAATGAAGTCACATTTACAAGCTCCCAGTCCAAACCTGAAACAGGGGACAATTTATTTATGGTGCTACAGATAAAGTGAAAAGTTACATACGGATTCCAGTGTTCTTTGGAGATCTTGTACAAACTGCCAAACATAATTGGTAGAATTTTATCAATGTTCTCCTCAATCAGGCTAAGAATATATTCATTATTCCAGAAGTACAAAGCTCTTTCTGCAACCTGAAACACAAAGTTAAGGGTTCATAACAACCATAAAATGAGTTACCATGAGGTTTGCTTGGGGTTTTTATACTTTTTTTTTATTTACCTGAAAATGTGAACTTGACACACTCTTGGATATTTGCTTAAATAAAGGCTCTTCTATTTTTTTGAATTGTGTTGGTTCTATAACATCTAAGATTTCTTCAATTTCACCTAAAAACATTACCTGTTAGTTTAGAAAGGAAAAAAAGGATGAGAATGTTTTATACCACCATTGTAAACAGAAGCAAACAAAATACAGTTTATACATTAGTCATGAACCCTGCAAAGAGCACTGTTTGTCATTACAAGGCATTTGGACATTCACAGGGGTTTTTTGCAGCCTAAAAGAAATCAATCACTCTCAGCTAACAGGTTACAGCTCTCCTCTTGGACTTCCTTTGTGTAAATACTGAATACTTCACCAAACTGCTTCTGCAGAAAATGGGATTTTACAGTTACAAAATAAAAAAAAAATTAGGACATCTTATTTCAAGAATGGATGCAGAGATTATCAGAGATCACCAAAGTAGCTTTTAAAGTGATAAGCAGTTAATTCCCATATAAAATTGTAACCAGCAGAACTCTGGGTAGCTGGCACAGAAAAATTTATCATCACTTGCAGAAAAAGAGACAACAGTGTTCAGGGACCCACTTTTAAAGAGTTTTTGGGGATGGAATCTGGTGGGATAAATCAAACTCCTGGTTTTCAAACTCATTTTAACTACATAGAAGACACCAGACTGTGTCACATGACAAAGGTGAGTGCCTCAAGAAGCTTCAAGAACTGCAAGTTTTCTGCAAGATCTCTTGAAGAGCACAGCAGAGAGGTTTGTGAATGTGCCCCACGAGATTTTACATCACAGCAGACACCAGAAATGAGACACAAAACCAACCTCTTTCTGACTGCATGTTTTTGGCCAAAATTTGAGCAATCCTCTGATTACCTATATGAAAAACACAAACATGTTAAAGCAGAACAAGTTTCTACTACATACTAGATAAGGAAAAAAAAAGTACTGGTTTGCTTTTCCTTATTCAGAGGTTCAATGAAAACTGAATAAACATCATTGAAATGTTTGTCTTGTTTAGGTTATCAGAATAGCTCAGATTATCAGGATAGCCCCCTATTGCTTTGTGTGCCTGTGATTATCCATTCACACTCTGCCTCACCCCAGTACTCACACGAATTGACAGGATGCTGATCACATCAAAGCATCACAAAGTGAAGTTAAACTCCCTGTAGCCAAATCTCACAGAATATTTTTTTTTGTCTTCTACTCATCCATACTTTGGGGAGCACCTGCCTTGGCATCAAAGGTTTGAAGCCTGAGAGGAAACAATAAATGCTGACAGGGCTCTAGAGAGGAGCCATGGCCTCCAACTCTTCCTTTCCTCTGCCACAATTTGACATGTTAGACTGGAAACTCAAGTAAGAAAGATGTGAACTTACAGAGAAAATGTATTCTAGTAGCTACATTTGAAACTACCTTACACAAGACTGGAAAAACAAAACCTTTGGGAAAATTAATTGGAAAGTACAGCCCCCAAGAGGAATGGAGGGAATACAGCAAAGAAAGGCTGGAGGCATTTTTCCTAGAAATAAACATCTCACATGGCATCTAAATTACAAAATTAATTATGGCTTTAAAAAAAAAAAGACAAAAAAAAGCTGCAACTGTATTCCAGAAGCAGAAACATTCTTAGAGCCTTATAAACTTTCATTCTGAAGAAAGGACTTCTAATTTTTATGATACAACAGCACCTAACTGATCATATCCAAAGGGAAAACTTACTCAATTATTTAAATACCTTCCATATTTACTTTTTGTCATGTTGATTTTTTTCCTTCAGTTTTCCAGCTGGATGCTTTATTAACAACTACATGGACCATCAAAAGTGGCTTTCCAGAGAAATAAGTTAAGACTAAAGTGCACTGTCCAGCACAAATTACTGCAAGAATTTTTAAATATATTTTGCTAGACAAGAGACCCATATTCCCAACTTGATAAAGAAATAACCTGTTCTGAGTGTAACAGTGCACACCTCAACAAGACACCTATTCCTTGCTCCTCCTTGGAGTGTCAGGTTCCAGCCCGACTGTGTCTTTATATTAAAAAGCTGATACCTGCACATTCATGTTCATGGATTGCTGCTTTCACTACACAAGGTCAATATTCTTCCCTGAGCTGCAGGATTCCCATGAATTGGGTTACAAGTGTAGGCACCTGCTGGAAAACTGAACTCATGCACCAGGACTGCACATTTAGCCTGATTTCCTCCATGTAAAGGCCATTGCACTCAGCAGGGTTAGGTAACAAACTCCTCTTGTCAGCTCTGCAAACATCAGGACTGACCTGAGGCAGACTACCATGGCTACAAGAGCCTGGATTGAATGTCCTCCAAACTGACCCTGAGTGACAATCCCTGCCAGAAGAATAACAGTAAGGTATGTGTGAAGACAGCCTTCTGATGGAGTTCTTAAAATATTACTTGACCTAAAGCCAAGAAAAATTTCCAATGCTATCTCATCAGTTGACCCAAATTTTAACATTTACTTTTCAAGCATTTCAGAAAGTTTCTTAAAGCTTCGATTCTTATCTTACTAACTTTAATTCCTTTATAAAACAACTTTTACTACACACCAGAGTTACAACCAAGGCAGTGAATCTGCAGTGAGTTCTTGTGTCTTCTCCAGCCTGAAGTCACCTTTAACTGATTGAGAAGCAGCCACAATTGCATAGACCATGGTCCAGATGAGGCTCAGAACTGCTTTGTGGCACTGCTCCAAAGCCCTGCCAAGTTTGGGCTTGGGTCCTGCCCCAACTTCTGTGAATTTGTGTCAGGAAGTTCTGACCTTGTCACGTTGTCACCTCACTCAATCTTGCAGGTTTTTATGTAACACTCCACGTTCTCTGCTCACATGTCAGCTTTGACTGTCAAAATGCCTGGGCTGTTTCCTCACTTGGCTTAAGGAATACAGGTTACACAATTCCCTTCTCCTCTCCCTGTCTCACAAAATAAACTAACTGACCAGTGTGGCTGGGAACATTGCAGCACAGGGGGAGAAAGATGCTTCAAGCACACAAGGCAAATCCATAGACACGAATAACTGGTCAGCTGAAATGGCTGTGCAGAAAACAAGCATCCTGAAAGGGCACTCAGTCAAGATCAATTATTTGATCTTATTTTCCCAAAGCTGTTTATCTTTTCTTTTTTTGGGGTTTTTTTTTTTTTTTACAGAAGAAAATTTAGGTCTTGCATAGGGTCTTCATTTTTCTGTCACAGAAGAGGTGAAGTATGTAAATACCAACACAGCCCTGATGGAGATATTCCTGATTGTCCAACTAAAAGCAGTTTCTTTTACAGCTGGCCCGACATCAGTTGTGTCCTCAGGAGCTGCTGCAGTGCCCTGAGCCCCTGCTCTCCATGGCTCTGCCAAAGCTGAGCACAAACCCTTTCCAGCTGAGCTGTCAATGTGCCACAGGAGGCTCACTCTGGCAAAAGGCACAGATGCCTCAAGCACCTGAGTTTGGCTGCCAAGAGGCACCCCAGGAACTGAAGAGGATGGACAGAAACACCACATTTGGAATTTCAGAGTTCTTTCTGTCTAAATGAAGTGCTGTTATTCTTTTCAACCTTTATTTTGGGATTGTTTATTCCCTAAAATATTTCAACTTTATGCATGGGCTAAGCAGAAGCAATCTGTACCAAAACCATTGAAATTTTAGTTTTTATGAGGAGCGAATACAGTCATGACATGCTTTCTAATTTGGAGTAGTCTGGTTGATACCAGAAGCTCAAACTTGTAGTTAAATCTGTGCTCTATCTTGGCTCTATCTTTCAAACTCAGAATGTTCTTAACTATTCTAGATTTCATTTCCAGCCCCCCAAAAAATTCCTACCTCTCCATGTTTAATCAGGGTAACACAGCACTGCTGCACAATTCAACAGGTTACACTGCAATATTTAATTGAAATTAAAAATAGAAAGACATCCAACTGAAAAACACTTACAGGCTCTGTTAAAGTTGTGTCTTTTTCCAGGAACTGTACAACACAATAGGCAAGCTGGAATGTAAGTCATATGGTTATTTAGTTTAAGCAGACACTGTTTGGACATTGCAGCACTACTAAATATCACAACTTCTAATGGAAGCACTTCAGATCATGGGGGGAACCCAACCCAAGACACCCCTACACAGCCTGTTCATATTAGTCCAAACTAAACAAAACAGCAATTAAAGCAGCAAGATATACAGGCCTGCTCGATCTTAAAAAAACTTCCTGCATACCAAAAATCATCTTTTCTTTTCAACCTAGAAAATTATTTTTAAGCTTGGCAGATATTTCCCTAACTCAGATCCCATATCCAAACAGATTTTTCTTAACATCAACTCCTGTGTTAACAATACAAAGCTATCACTTTCAAACATCTATTTTGGGGTAAAAAAGGCCACACTTCCAGTAAAAGCCAAGCTGTGACACAGGTTTGACTGAGCACACATTGCTCAGGTGACATCGAGAGCACACAGCATTCAGTGGTAAATTACAAGTGAAAGAATTTGAGCATATTCCAAGGCCACAGGAGATGAGGCAGCTGCTGCCCAGCTGAGTGTCCTGTCCCAGTGCAGCAATGGCCAACAAGTGCCCGGGGAAAGGGGGAAGGAGTGGGAATTAGCATGTGATTAAGGCACCAGCAGTGCTCTCCCAGCCTCTCCTGCTTTTGTTGGGGCCTGCCCAGGCCAAGGATATTTAGTGTTATATAATCACTTAGAGTTTAGTTACTGAGCACACAGTTGAGTAAGTAAACCACCATCCCATGCAGAAACCATACAATAATGCTATTGCTGAACTAGTTACAATCTTCCTTAGATTCCATTAAGACTGATTTTTAAAAGTCACAGTATTTCACAATATAGAGCAGAGACAAAAATTATGCAATAGGCATTACATTTCAATACTCAGGATGCTTGGATTTAAGCAGCACCTTTCTTTTTTTTATTGTGCCAAAGCAGATAATTACAATGCTGTAATTGCAACAGGTCTAATTTCTTTCTTTTGCCCTTAGGCTACTGATGCATTTGTATAGACTCAAAAAATAATAAATGTCACACATTAATCTCCCAAATCCCATTATATGTGTACATTCAGTGCAGTAATGCTCTACTGCTCAAAGACACAAAGACCCAAGCTTAGCTCATCTTCAAGGCTTTAACTTTTAAGGGTAGGCTCTACTTCACTCAGCACCAAAGCAACCAGGCCACTTGGGATTGCAGAGCAGATTTAGCACTGGCTCAGCCCTTTGGGATAAAATGAAACACACTGTGCTGTGTGTGCACCTGGCACCAGAGTTTTATGAAGGGACAGTTTTCCTGGTCAGCAGGAAAAATGTGACTTTCAGGTACAGCTGAATTAACAGGGCCATTTCAGTACCATGAGCTGAATTGAATGTATCCCAGAAAAAGGGGGAGCTTGCTGCACTGATCTGCCAGTGAGAACACCTTTGGGAGGTTTCATGGAAGAGCAAGGCAATAAACAACAAAGATAAGTGATTTGCTTAATTTAAAACTTCATATGAGAATTAGGAATTGAGTGAGCTCTTCACTTGATCCTGTTTATAGGCTATACAGTCACAATGATTTCACTTTAATTAGAAACTCATTTCCTTGTGCCTTCAGACTGTATGGAGCTCTATTAGTGAGCTAAGTTAAAAATCAAGTTTTAATTAGCCACAGCAGAATTCCTTCCAAATTTGCATCAACCATATTCAATACTTGTAGTGCCATATGTCTGGAGAGGATACAGATTATTCCTCAAATGAAATGCTGAATGTCTGTGGCAAGTCTGAGAACCCAAGTCAGCTGAAGAACTGCAGCATTCTGACAGCGTGTCATGGATCTACATAATTCCTGCCTGAGCCACAGAGCTGCTGTGCACTTCTGCTATTTATAAATGGCAACAACATTCTCCCTCCCAGCCCATCACTCGTGCAGCTTTAGAAAGAAAAAAACAATTCTGAAATAAATACCTGGCCATACCCAAGGTTCCTTTACACATAGCATTTAAGTTACAGAAAGAAATGACAACAGCACAAGGCCCTGGGATTAAATGAAGCTTAAAGTGTGACAAGACTACAAGCAGAAAAGCTCCAACTTCAGTTGATACATCTTTGACTCACTGGTACATTCTTTCACTTGTAATACATGCCAAATGTTATCTCAAAATTAACATTTAGATATAAGATCTGGAAGACTTTTTCTAAAAGTGACTGAATTTGCAAATATTTTGGAATATTGATATTATAACACATAGTGCTTTAAATTTCATTTCAAATGTAAATACAAAAACCCCACCACTCTTAAAAATAGGCAAAAGCTTACCTGTGCATGAAACAAAGCTAATCCCTTTGCAGTATGCATGGGAATCAGAACTTTCATAAGGAACTGTTTGTGTTCTGCTTTCAGTGGCAGTGCAAAACCATTGATAATACTGAAAACATGAATAAGCAGGATTTATTTTTATTAAAAAAATAATTTTTTTCCTACCAAGTCAAGAATTTCTGTAAGTTCAACTGAAACTCCATTCCTGATTCAGTTTTTAAACCCGATTATTTTGAAGCCATAAAATACCTCAACATGTGCACAACCTTTGAAATGCTGCTATAATGAGAGTTTAGACTCTTGGTAAGGAATACCAGAGAACCATACTAGAAGCTAAATAATACCCATTAGATGAGCTGAAGTATTTTCATCATCCATTAAATAAAATCATCTACAGTAAGTCCTGCTGTCTAATTGCAAAGCTTAGACAGATGTATCAGGAAGCTGATCATGTCACCCACCATCACTAGCAACATGCAGAGAAAAAAGACTATGCAATTTTAATAGTGCACTTAAAGCACTTGTTTTGAGATTGTTGAATAATCTTTGCCTTCAAAAATAAAGTTTAAAAGTTGTCTCTGATTCAGTCCTCTTATATTTAAGAGTTGATGAGCTATAGACAAGAAAAAAGTCCTTCAGGAAAAGGTTAGTTTCTATTGCCCCTTACATTTTAGGTAAATCTGAGAAAATAATGGGATCCCTATCACTTGATTTTTCATGAAAATTTATTTCACAATAGCTTCACCATATTTATATTTTTAGTTAGACCAATAATACAATTTTCTACTGTGAAATGCGTGACAGTTTTGGAAAGGCAGTAAAAAAACTACCAGAGAAAAACCTCAAAGTCAAATTGAAGTTAGTGAAATGACATTCAAAAAAAAGGTAACTAAAAAACCCCTAGCACTTACAAGGCTTTCCTGAACAGAACTGAAGGAAAACCAGCGTGCTGAAGATTAAAACATTTCATTCAGCATGAGGGCAAAAGCCAACACTCATTTTCTGAATCAAAGAGCAAGTCACCCATCAGGCAGAAGATAAGCAAGAGTAGATAGGTCTGACAAACAAGGACCCTTGAGAAGCATTTTTTGCCTGTCAACTTTAAAACTTGCACTGAAAAAAGAGTAATTTATTCTGAGTCCTAATTTGATATTCATGTGGTAACCCAGACAGCATTAGATTATCAGTAACTGCACTTCATCACTCGTTACTGTAATAATTCTCTTCCTCCCTCTCCATTCCCAAAGCACAAAAGCTGAAGCAAACATTCACAATAATGTTTTATATTTTTCTGTGTGAAATCAAACTTACCTTCCTAATATCTCAAGGAGTTCAGCAACACCATTGAAGTGCTCTGTTTCATATATAAACCTGTTACCAACAAAGACAACCATCAAGATTTGCCACAGAGGCTCAGAGATTCCAAAGAAAACTTTTACTAAGCTTCAAATACTTGAAAGCAAGATCACAGACCAAACACAGGTCTTTCATTTCAAGAATAAATCACTGCAGACCCAGACTGTGAACGCAAGATAAAATATTCCTCAACCTAGTCACACACATACACAGCATACCTGAGGAAAATGTTGTTTATCTGTTTCCTGATGAATGCTCTTAAACCAAGGAATTTTCCATAAATTCTATGGAGAACTGTCTTTAGAAAATCACGTTCTCGTGGGTCTTCACTGTCAAAGAGCTCCAACAACTTTAAAAATGAAATAGAAATGTATTACTTTTGAAAGACTTAAGATTTTGTTTTGAATTTTATCTTTTGTTTTGAATTTTCCCTTTAATTTGCAAGTTTACATTAGGAAAAAAATAGAATCAGTTTAACTGGACTTTTTTTAATATGTCAATAGTAGATTTTCAAAATTACATTTTTAATGAAGTTGGTTTTTTTTCTAATAAAATCATCAACTTCAATTCTTTCCTGCGTACAACAGACACTGAAGTCATTCCAGTAACTGTTATACTATCAAAATGAAAATGCAATTGCAAACATGAGATTATCAAACTGTAGGTAAGTGGTTTACACTTGTTATTTAAGAAACCAGAATTAATCAAATCCATGTCCTATATTTACAATTTCATAATTAAAGTCCTTTACTGCTTATCTCAAAACTTGTATCTTGATGGCCAAACAAAAGCATTCCTATACAAGAAATTTTACAATTAAGGAGGGGGCCATGGAATAAGCACAAGATATGTAATTACTAACCAATTCCCCATTAATACAGACTAAATGCTGCAGGAGACAACAAAACTTTCCACAAACTTTTACCTTGTAGAAAGTCTTTCAAGGATACAGAAAAGACCAGGCTCACTCCAAGACATTAAAAAATACTCCAATCATGTTACAGACCATAATTTTTGTTGGTTTTTTTAACCCTGCATGGCCAAGCAACAGCATATTCAGAAAAGTTAGCTGCCTTGAGCAAGTCAGTGGCAGCTCAAGCAGAGTCTCCTGCTCAGGTCTGAGCTTAGGTATGTCTGTACCAAGCAGCACAAGGGACTGGAAACAGCTGTTCAGGAACTTGGTTCAGGCTCACTTCAATTTTATATTTAGCAGGAATTTCTCAGGGTCACTACTCCACGTTTTTTCCCATATATAGCTAGCTGTTGGTTGCATTGTCTCTATCTTGTACTCCAGAGAAAGATCAAGTGAAATGTCAGGAACAAACTCTGCAATGCTGCTCTCAAGGACCACAGGTCAGTTTGTAAAGTGGACACCCATAGCAAATAGCTCACCAGCAGCCTCAGGCTTAAATTTTGTGTGTAAGTTGAATAAAACTGAGAAGAAAACACATATACAACAACAGCAGAACCAATTAAGTGGAAATTAAATGAAGATAGGGAGGGAAAGCATCCACCTCGTGGTTTTACTTTTCCTTGCTGTATTGTGAAGGCCTGCCAGCACTCACTCCTCTGATACTGAGCAAACAAGTACTTTGACAAACAAAATTTGGCAAACACACATTTCAACACAGTGAAAAAATCCCCAGTGAATTCACCTCGAACCAAAAATAGTTATTGCATTCCACACTGTAATTCTCTAAGAAGTTATATCTAATATGAAATCTCACTTCATTTTCTTGCTCATAGTTGCTTTGCATGGTAAAGCATGACCTTCTTAAGTAATTTCTTACTTGATTTTCCTTCTGTGGTTAATACACAACAGTAAAGAGAATTACACTACCTAGGCACAAGTAAGGAGGTATTGAAACATATTTCATGTACAATGAGTGCATGAACTTTTTACAAGAAAAAAGCTTGCTGTAAGTTTTCCCATGGTAACAAAATTTAAAAAACAATCATAGAAGGATTACAAAAATATAATTACCACATTGTTCATTTGGCTGGAATTAAGTTACAAACCATGAAAAACAGAACTTTACAAATCTCAAAAATCTTACATTGCAAAGCATTGAGGTTGGTATCTGAAAACAAAGTGTTCCTGAATTTACTAAATACATATAGCCCCTGTGGTATGATGTGCTGTTTATTTAGTGTTTGGCACCAAACCACTGCTGCAGCAACTGAAATTTACCCTGTGTCAGCAGGAAAGCTGATGATTTAACTTCCAGAGGTGATCTTTAAATGCCACTTTCAACTTTCCCAGTCCCCCTTACCTGCTGTACAAATCTCTGGTCAATGTATCGCTTCGCAATGCTGGGCTGAAAATCCGGGCTCTCCAAAAACCTCAGGAAAAACTCATACACCAGCTACAAACGCGGAAATGAAAATTCCAGTTAGTAAGTACACCACAACACAGATCTCAGCCTTGTCACCACCACCAAAGGCTGTGGCACTAACTCACATGCTCAGAAAGCACAAAAGGAATCAAAGCCTAACACATCACTGCTTAACCACAGCTCCAACTGGAATTTACTGAAATAACTACAGTAAGTACCCAGAACACTTTAATTCCCGGAAGAGTCAAAGCTTAATAAATAATCTACTGAAAATACCACTAGTGGACAAAAAACAAGTTGTAAATGTTACATTCCTGCCATGTTAAGAACTTATTATGCAGAAATAGGTTACCAAACATGAGCAGCACTGAGAGTTAAATCAAATGCTCTAACATTACATAATTCCTTAAAGAGATGAAGAAACATCTCCTAAGTGTACCTGGAATTAAGTTTTGACCACAAACTCTGAAAAAGAAAAGTTGTATTAAAACACCTGAATGAATTCACAGAAACTGAAAGAATTCAGATTAAAATTAGGCTTCTATATCCTGGAAACTCGTTTGTAGCATATTATTTCTACTTAGTTCAAGTTCCTATTTGCTACAATCCCACAATGCCCAGAGATAAAAATCCTGACAAGAGCTAGAGCTAGCAGAGAGTGGCTTGAAGAGGCCAGAGCCCCAGTCCCACACTTTGGGGTTCATCAGAAGTCCAAGACAAAACACTGCACTTGTGTAACAATGGCAGATTAATAAAGTACACAGAAGGCACCTCTTCTCTAAGACAGAACTGAAAGATGCCTTATGTTTAGATTCCATTCAGAGCTATTCGTGTTCTCAATGCCTATTTCATAACTCCATATAATTAAACAGCTGATTAGTAATAACACTACAATGCAATTTAGGTACATAATGCCAACACTGACTGGGCTTCTAAATAAAACCCATGCAGAGCTGTGCTCATACTCAAAGGCATGAATTTCAACTATTACCACTCTGAGGACTTAACTAAACTGAGAGCCAACACCTGAGTAATTCATAATTATAATTAGGAAGCTCACTTCAGAAAAATGCATGACAGTAAGTACTTTTATGTAGAACATTTGAGCTGACAGTTACTTATGCATAGCCTCAAGGAGGGTGTGCTGTATCTGCAAAGCAGAGGCTCAGAAACTCAAGCTACCATTCCCTTTGTCCTTCTCTGACAGACTGCAAGAAGAGCTTTTCATATCAGTAGTTTACACAGAATAACAGGATTGTTAGGGTTGGGAGGGATCTCTGGGAATCATCTAGTCCAACCTCCTTCCAACCCAAAACATGCCCATTCTACTGATCTTTTTCAAATTAGCAACCAGATAAATCTGTATAGAAATGTGCAACATATGGCCAGAGGGACGTTATATAGCACAGCCTCATAGGGATTAATTCTGGAATTTCATTTAATTCAAGATTTCTGTAATAAATTCCTATATGAATTATTTTTGTCAGTGACAACAGTAAAGAACAGCCATGTGCGATAACTGCCACAATATTAGAAGCTACCACCAGGGGGAAAAATAGAAAATAAAAGTTTCTATAAAATAGAAAATAAATGTTACCCACAAGAAAGGACAAGTTGACCCTGAAGCTCTGGAAGAATAAATATGGAATGAAACTCAAAGATTGCAAAGTCACAGCTGGAGTTCCAAGAAAAAGCTCTACTGAGCATTTGCAAGCCCTAAAGCCGAGAAAGGGTTAACCATAGGATGATTCAGATCCATCCTCACAATGAAGCTATGGAAGTGACAGATGAAATCCAAGGATATGCCAGGAAGATACTGACAGCACAGACAGAGATGCACAGACCTACATGTGCTGAGGAAATTGATTACAACCTGGAAGGATACAGAGAAAGAGCCACCAGAATTGCCATGGGATAGAACACTTTCTAAGAGTGAACACTACATTGGCATATTTTGTTTTCCCTAAAGGACAGGGGAGGAAGGATAATTACAGCTTCTTTCCATAAACAGATATACTGACTGTAATAGACATCAAGCAGATGAACTAAGTGAAAAGCACAATGCTGCAACATCTTGTAATAAGATGTCCAAGATTAAATGCAGGATATCAACTGGGTATGGTATCAAACTTTGGAAATCCTTGTGAGATACATGAAAGCCTCCTTATCCAGGGCATTTCAGGAATCAAGCTGCAGTGGCCATTTCTGGGTAAGTCAAACTCTCCCTTCTCCTGTATGCTAATGTTTGTAAACTTAAAAGCACAACAACAACAATCCAACTAGGGGCACCAGAACAGATTCTGGCCACAGCAGATCCTACCTAAAGAGACAGGCATGCTCAGCTTTCTTAAACAGAAACATTACTTTTGGAAATACTAGATCAGGGGAAAGATATTGGATTTAGTATTTTTTGTTCTCAAAACTGGTCTGCTTGGGCCAAAGGGCTATGAAATACAACTCCTAATGCTTCCTCTTTCAATTCCTCCCAGGCAAGCCCAAGGCACAAGTGAACTGATCACAAAGTCCACAGGCCCTTTTCTATGAGCAGGACTAGAGTTTGATTATGGGCTAAAGTGAACTGAGCTGGCATTTACACATTTTACCTCTGAGACACAGGTATTTAGCAGTCAGCTGGTGCTGCTGCTGACTACCGGAGACATTTGTTTAGCTCTTGCACCCTCCCACCCAACAAAGCCAAGCCTCTGATCCAGCTCATTTACAGCCACTTCACCTACAAATTAGAATCAGCCATATATAAGAAAATAATTATTACAGCCTTTAACCTGCAGAGTTATTTTCTGTGATAACTTAATTCTTGTTTGGTTTAAGTGTGAAATACTATGCTGAATACATACCTTTTAGAGTCAATATTAGAAGCCTAGTTTTTAAATAAGAGTTTTAAAATAAGAGCATTTGTGGATGCATTAGAACTGTAATGTTATAGGGGCAGAGGAGCATTTCAGCTCTTGAGAGGAGAGAGCAAATGGTGTGCAGATGTGCAGCAGCTTAACCTACCACTGCCAGGAGTTGCTACTTCACTTTTCTTTAACAGATACTACTTAAATTCAGCAATGAACTACCCAAGATATGTGCTTGGACATTTACAGCTGCTAAGAGTTAATTGAAAATAAAATAAATTTCAGCAGCGTTTCAAGTCAATCACGTGATTGATACAGCAGAGCTATAAAAATCACGAGATCCCAGGGAAGTGCAACAATGGAATAACCATGCAACTGTTACCAAACAACGCTGAGATTGTCAAGTTTTGGCATGGAGGGAGAGAAGAAGGAGGGGATTTCTATTTGCTCAAAGGACAAATAAAGGCCATTACTCCATTTTTTGTTATTGCCATGAGAAACAGAACTGTTAATATTAGCTTATATTTTATTGAAGCAACACTAAAAAGCTGCTGAGTTGCAGAAAACAAACCTCTTAGGTGAAGAACATAATTACCTAAAGTACCCACAGTTTTAAGACATACATACACCACAATTTAACAGTGTAATCTCTCTGTTTAAAAAATAGCATTTAAGCCACTTAGAAGAGTTACATTCAGCCAATTTAAAAAGCACCACTTTTTTTCCCCTCTTGAGTATAAAAACTCAATTGTGTTATAAAAGAAATTTTCTTGTTCTTAACAAAGGCATGAAACGACTGAAGTATCCACATTGCCTTACAAGAAGGCTTGGAAATAAAGGAACCACACACCTGTATGTGGGGCCATGAGGCTTCAAGAGTTGGTTCATCTTCTTCTGGATCAAAATCTGGGTTATCGCTAGGTGGAAGTGTTCTGAAAATATTAGAACTAATCTGTAAGGCAAAAAAAAATACTTGTATCACTGTTTATGCTTTCACAGATCACACTCATTAAGGTACTGCATTTATCCTGAAACCAAATGAAACAAAACCATGTAAAAAAAGTAACATAAGGCACTACCTCATTTTTTCAAAACTGCAGAATACAAACAGTCAGAAGTCTGTAAGATGCTAGTGAAAATTAGAATTTAATTTACTAAAATTAGAATTTCAGTAACTGCTTTATGAGCTTTGAGGTAGATGTGGTCATATTCCAGAATCTTCCCCAAACCGATGGAAGGTTGAAAAAAAAATCAGCTTCCCTATCAAAAACAGTTTTTAATTACATGACAGCAAGAACTGGTTTTATATAAGACCACAAATAACTAATTAATTAAGATTTAAAGAGAGCTCTCGCCACATAGGAGAGAGCATGTCTGTCATGTAAGACAGACAATCCCAAAAATTTAGAAATATTTCTTATTTCTACAGTTCTTTACTTGATTTCAAGATATTTCTGCTTACATTTTTCACCTTTGAATATTTCAAGATGTTTCAAGGGTTTAGAAATTTAGAAACATGTAACCATTCTATCTTTTCCATTTCACATAGTAGCTATTTTTTCTTAAAGTTAATCTAGGTTACTTTTAGTACGATACAGTCACATCAAATCAATTTCAAAAGGACAAGTTTAAAAAGGTTTCTTCAAGGATTTTGAAGTATATTGAAGTATGGACAGAAGACCATTCAGATGTCAAAGGTAAAATGCCATCTCTTGCACAGACAGCACATACTGGATTTAAATCTCTAACACAAACAAAAGAGAACATGCAGTTCAGTCCATTTCTGCATTTTCTACCATTCTTTCAGAAACAAGTTAACCCAACTTTTCCAATCACCTTTCAAACTCTTTCAGACTTTTTGATCAAATCTGTTTCAAGAAACTGCTTATCACTCAAGCCTACTAAGCACAACAAGAAATGTTTGACAGGTTGCACAAAATCCTCCTGCACATATTCCAAGGAGTCTCCAAGGTGTTTGAAGAATCTAGCAAAAGGAGTTTACAAAGATCCTGAAGTCACCCAGCTGGCTCTGCACATAAGAATCAGCTGCGTCATTAAACAAGATACACAGCTATTGCATAAACTGACTTTTTATTTCCTCCTATGCCCTTTGCTCTGTGTCACTGTCTCCTGTTGGGACATGGCAAAGATCTCCTGGACTGGAAGGGCACTGAAGTTCTGTGTGGATGGGCTCAGCTGTCTCTGAGCTTAATGCACAAGAAAAACAATGAAAAGAACAAAACCCCAAACTAAATAAAACCACCCAAAGAAACAAACAACCCCACAAAAACAGTTGTCCTTTAATGCTGTAAACACAAGGGACTTGGGATTCCAAAGCTCAAGAACAAAAGGCTTGTGGGGGGAGGGGGAGAGGAAGGGGAAATAGGAGTCAGAGAACATTAATTTTAATCAAGCTCAAAAACCAGCAGTACAATCCTGGTTCTCTTGTTAGCTTTGTTTACTTTTACCAGGTATTCAATAAAACCCTCCAGCATATGAATCAGTCTCCTACAGAGAATGTTCTACCTCTGCTTGCAAGTGTTCTGGTAACATCTCCTGAAAACACTTCTTTTTCTTTCTAGATGCATCTTGCTGAACTGAGCTGGTCAGCCCTGAGCACAGAACATCACAGTAGTGAGGAAGTTTCCTGTCCAAAACAAAGCTACTAAATACCCTTCTGTAGCAGAAATAATTAGCAAGCATCTCAGCCAAGCCTTTGGAAAACCAATTGTATGATTTTCAGAGTATTCACTACCTCCACTAGCATTATTCATCTCTAAGAATATATGAAACTTAAAATAAACTTTGCACCCTTTTTATGCACTAGCCTGTCTCCCAAAAGAAAAAGTTAATTTACCTTATTATGTTTGCAATACTTTTGCAAATTCTTCTCTATATCCCCTCATATTATTTAAAACATTCTTTTGCTTTCCTAAGTTATGTCTTATCCAAAAACTGCGATTTCAGAAACACAAATTATAAAAGGTTTTTAAAGCTGGATAGATTTCCAGATAAATCCAGTACCAGCTTTCTAAATTAAAGTTTTCCAAAAATTGTATCAGAAAATGTGCCAGTTAGTGTACTGAAATACAGCAATTATGTTTTATTAAAACCAAAAAGAAAGAAGTCCCTTATTGTCTGTACATTTAATCTAATAATTTGAAAGATACTAGGTTCAATTCTAGTTTCTGAGTGTGCAGACTGAGGATACCTGATTTACCTTAAATTCTGAATTCACAACTCACACAGCCTGTTAGGACAATGTCATTACATGATATTTTTGTATGCTGCTGGGGAACAAGGCAAGGCTGATGGGCACAAGGAGATGAAGAGTTACATTTACTGAAGAGGCACTTCAGTCATGTTCCCAAAACTGATATAAGCTAGAACTTTCTAATTTCCCAGGAAGTTTTAAAACTTAAAATATTCACAATTGCAAACCCTGATTTCCTTTTAGCTTCAGAGCACTTTTAACTGAGAATTTCCAAACAGAGAAGACACTAGGTTTGGATGACCCAGAACTGCTGTGCTACACCTTCAAAGCCAATTGTCAGCAGAGCTCCTCCTCAGCTGAAGGGAAATCAGGCTGCCCAGGGCACCAAAAAGACAACCAACAGTGTGTCCTGCACATCTGCTGAAACAAAGATTTTTTTAAATGATGTTGTTCCATCCTCAGTGGCTTGAAATGGCACTGGTATCATTTCCAGCTGCCAGCCTGAGGAGCCCAGCAGAGCAGAGCCGAGCAGAGGAGCTGTGTGACACCTGGCTCAGCAGCTATCCTGGCAACCGGGACCGGTGAAGGAAGGAATGCCAGACACCTCCTCACCTGCACAGGCCCTGCCCATGCACTGGTCAGAAAGAACATTTTATTTCCCTTCCTGCCGTCTTTAAGGCCTTGTTGACTTTGCCTCCCCACAGCTCGGGTGACTCCAAGGAAACCTGTCTGAAACCTGAGGCTGTTTCCTCTGTGAGCTGCAGAGAAGTTGTCCCAGGCCTTGGGAAAGAAATTGCTTCTGCTTCTGCCACTGCTGCTACTCTGGCTTTTTTCAGGGAATTTTTTAGTCTGCCTGTCCTTTACTACAAGCCAGATTATAGCTGGATTTCATTAAGGCTATTTCTACTTTTTTATCCCAAAACCACACTTCAAACTCTGCAGCAAAACTCCATTTATTCTTTTTTTTTCTTTTAATGTAGGAACACTGAACAGCCTAAAAACTTAAAATCCAAGAAAACAAAAGTGAAACAGTAACTCTTCAATCTCATAAAAGTTTTGCTACCAAGAAAGGCCTGGAGCTTGACACAGGTGTTAGCTGGAGGGAGAGACAGACCCATGCAGATTTTTTTCTGAAGCTGGTACTTCGTCCTAATTCACAGCAAAGGCCTTTTCTGCTGCCAGTTGCCAGGGAGATTAGAAATACTATTCAAGCTTGGAGGGATCTTTTGTCTCAAGCTCTCAAAAAGCTCTCACTGAGCATTTAAAGCTCTCACTGAGCTTCTTCCCTTTCTGTCATTTTAGGGGAGAAAAGGAGATGGAAATTTGTTATGGAAGGAAAAACAAGCATCCACAGAATCCAATCATTTGCACAACAAAAAACCCTCAAAGGAACAGCTCGACACCACCTTATCTCCAAGAAAAGAAAACAACTCCAATATAAAAGAAAGCCTCCCTTCAACAAGTACTATGGGCTAGTTAGTATATTCTTTCTTCTAACAAGGGGCTACAGAGGGCACGCAGAATGAGAAAATACTGCAGGGATTCAGGCTTGCTGCCACCAGCAGCAAGAAAAAAAAGGAAGCCTGAGAAGAGGTGAACATACTTTGTCCTTTATATCCTTATGCAAAAAACATTTAGGACAGAGAACCAGGTCCTTTAAAAAACGAAACTATACAAAACCCCCCAGTGTCCTAGATTTTTTCGTAAAACTTAATAAGCATCTGCTGAAACAGCCAAAACGATTAAAGGGTTCCAATAATCCTAGCCCTTCAGTATAATGGCAAAATTTCCACACTTTTTTACATTAAAGATCTGATCTTCCCTGTCAGCTGCCCAGAAAAAACACCAACCAAACAACAAACAAACCACCAAACAACAAATAAAATGAACCTTAGGAAAAAACTAATTAGTACTGTATAGAGAACTACACAAGTTGCAAGCTGTATATTTGAACTGCTCTGCTTATGTTCCTAAGAGCTCTTTTAAAGTCAGCATTTTATCTATGTAAACTTCACCAAAGTTTAGAGAACCATTAATGAAAATGCATGGGCACTAAAGCCATTGTTTTTACATTTCACACTTCTAGGAAAAAAAAAAATCCAATTATTCTCAAATTTCAGATTATTCTCAAGTGTCTTTCAGTTGCATTCCCTGTACATGGGGTATAGGCAGATCAAAAACATTACTTAAGTAGCATTTGAGAATGTACATAAACACCTGGGAAAGTCAGCAGATAACCACAAATATTTTGTTCATTATTCAACAAGCCATTAGCAGCAATTGCATGGGACAAGTCATCCTACGGTTTATAACATCAGCAAACCACTTGGGCTACTCTAGTACAGCTCTCCAAGGCCAAAATAATAACAAACAGCCATTAAAAGTATTTACAAAGTAGAGTTGCTTTTGTATACTGATAAACCTTTCTGCTGCCATCAGCATCTGCAGCAATCACTATCAGAAAACTTTAGCCTAATTCTCCATTGCCGCTAGAAAATAAAGATAGGCAGCACTGAAATATTGCCATCTTCTGAAAGAGAACAACTTGAAAGCTTACCCAGACTGCAAGTAGCTGCAGTGTACCAGTTCTTTCACTTTAATTAACCTGAATGCATCATGTTTCAGCTAATAATTAAAACCTGCAAGTTGTTTGTTTTTACAAGCCTTTCTGGGCCAAGTTATCATTAACAAATTATATTATATTGTATAAGCAGAATAACCAACCACAATTCTGAGTTAAATGCCATTAGAGTCATAAACTGATTTTATTAAAATACAAACTATAACAAGAGCATTCTACTTACCATTTTCACTATGTCAGCATAAGCTGACTCAACAATCACTCCACGATTTGTTGAAACATATTCAACCAGTTCATTCAGTGTTGCTCTCTTGATTTCTTTGCTTTTCAGGTCTGAAACAGAGTCCATGAAGTCAAAGAGCACACAGCACTGTTGCAACTTCTGACAAAAAAGATCTTGCTGTTCATTGAAGGTGGCATCTATAAAAGGAAAAAAAACAAACCAAACACTTATGTCTGTAGAAGCAAATAGGATTTCTAAATCTATTTTGTTGACAAGACTTTGCATAGCTATGACTTTTTTTTAATGTGAAAGAGTTGTGCTTCATAGTCAGCAAACTAACAGCAAATCATTAAGCAATTTTGCCCAAACTGAAAACATCTGTATGTCAGGATGGAACACCCACCATCCCCAGCTTCTGGTACATGAAAGAGCTAACAGACAAAGACAAGGCAGTAAATTTATTTACCAGCAATGAGTTACTGAATAATTTTATTTTAAATACATAAATATTAACAAGTCTCAGTTCTCCATCACCAAAAGTCATATCCAGAAGCAGTGCATCAAACTAACCTTTCATTCATCCGATTTGTCTCATTCTGCTCCCTAATCCTTTATTATGTAACCTGCTTAAAAGCTGTAAAATCTGCTTTGAAGGAACCTTGTCTTTTTACCCCAATGCAAAATGCTTCACATACTTTCAACATCATGTGATCAACGTTTCGCTGAAGAAAGAATTCCAATATTTCGAAAGGATTAATCCTGAATTTTAATGGCTTGGTCTAAATAATTTATGACAATCTCAGTCATATAAAGGTTTTCCAGAATTTTTGGCCTATTAAGACAATGTGTTTGGCTGTGACTTAGCATTTTCATTTTAGCATCCAGTACCTCTGTAATCTGATAAGCAGAATTCCTCCATTAGCATTTCACATTTACTCTAAAAGAGATGGATTATCAAGCACTACACTCCTCAAAAATTTAATACATCCTTAATATGGTGTAACTGTTCCAAAGCTGCATGACCATAACAATCATTAAAAAGTCATGGTTTTAACTGAAAATTTGGTTTAATGTGTCTTTTGTTCTTATTCTCAACTGTTTATACGGGTTCAAAGCCACTGGACCAATACAGCATCACCTCATCTATCAGCCAGTTGGCATTTCACTCACTCTGGTGAAAAAATAGTATTCCCAATTTTATCTCCAAATAAAGAATGCTCTCCCCTGAAGAATTTTCAAGACCAGTCTACAGCCTGACTATATCCCTTAGCCTCATCCATTCACTGCAGTATGGCTATGAGCACTGCTGCTTCATCACCAAAAGAATTAGCAAGACAAGAAAATGCAACTGAGTACTGAAAATCTTAAGTCTCACTTTAAAACCTGAACAAAGCACAAAAAATCTGATGCTTCTTTTTAATGCCTTACAATTATTCTAATTCAACAAACTTCATTAAGTTTATACCTTTAACTGTATAAATAAAGTTTAAATATAATTATCAGGTCACTCTGATAATGCCTGTTTCTCGGGTTTCCTACCAAAGCACCTTTCATTTAGTGGCTGGAACAACAACAGTCAGCAACAGTTATCTGATAGAATAGCTTTGTCTCCATAAGCAAAAGGTAATTGCTGAAATGGACTGACACCCAGGCACAGAACCTGCATTGTGCTCCCTTTGCCCACCTGACAGCTGGGATCCTATCAGCTGAGCACAACCACCTCAGGAGCTTTGAACAGCCAGCAATCACTGCTCTCTTGTGAAGAACGATTCACACTCCTGAATGTCAATTCTGCCATTTGAACCGCTTTTCTTTTGAAGAAAAAACCTTGCAAGATGCCTATTTCACTCAGATGACTACAAAGACACGAATTGTTACACTCTGCAAAATAATGAACCTCAGCTGTAAAAACATTTGTAAGTTATGTAACATTTCAGCTCAGATCTTCTAATATTCTACAGCGGATTGCATGAGCAAGTATTGTATCATAGCAACAAAGCAATAACAGTGACATGCTGAGGATAAAATCCAAAAAAGCCTAATTTAAGGAACCAACACTGGGAAGGCAGCTTTTTTTGTTGCTAGCCCCAAGCTGATAGGCAGACTGCCACAGGAACCAAGCCTGCTCTTATTTTCCCTCGCTACAAACTCAGCTATAGTTCGAGTTACAAAGGCCCACAAGTGAGGCACAGCTAATACAATACAGTCAGCTGCTGATAGATTTTTTTTTTAAAAATTAAAAATGAAGTATCACTAAGCAAAATTTACTTAGAAGTTTCAAAAACCAGCAGACAGCACCTGAATACTTCTAACCATGGCTCAAACAGACTAAAGACCTCAGGTTAAAAGCCAGTAACTGGAATTCATACAAAATAATTAAATCACTTATTACCTTCCCTAGGATACCAAATAAATTCCTGCATTAGCCACTTCTCGTTAGACAGCAGAGTAAAAGAGAATATCTCCCCTGCCATGCACCAGCAGACCATTTCATTAGCAACCTGATCTCTCTCAATTGGACATGTTTCCTCAAATGGAAAACCCACCCATTAATCTGTTTTGTTACTTTTAAAACATTTAAAGTAAAACCAAAGTAAGTATCTTCTTGTAAGCATACATCCTTTTTTTGGGACTTGCAAGGGGAAACACAATTATTTTGTCAACTTATCATCTTTAGTCATTTGCAAGAGATGAAAATTATGTGCAACCATGTCAAAAATAAGGTAACAAGAAAGCCAGCTCTCTTCTATCAGCACAATCTGTCTTCATGTGCTCAATCCCTCCTTGACACATTGTGCATTTGTCCCAGGAATGTTATGAAAGGTACCATGGGAACCACCAAGTGATTGAGGAAAATTTGTTTGTCATATAGGGCTCTTAACTTTTCAGAGCCTTGTCTTTATCCCAGCACAGTGAAAGGTAGAAAACTTTATACCACAACAAAATCATATCACAATAGTTTATTCTAGTTCTAGGAATAAAATAAACTGTGTCACCATAACTGCATAAATACTGGAGCTTTTGGCTTTAGTAGTTGAACAACCCACAGCATGATTTTTAAACCAGCTTTAATCTAATATTCTGTGAAGATTTACATCATACATGTGGAGCTCAAGATAATTGCTACTCTTCAAATAATAAATACCATAAAGACCACAGAAGATAAAATAGGTTCAAAATAGACAGTGGATGCCTCAATGAAACAATCCTGAATCAAGCATAATGATGGGAAATCCTGAAGACAAAAACTTAACATCCAGCACCAAAAGAATTATTGCAAATTATGATCCACTTTCATCATGACTTGCCTCTGGTCATTTCCATGATAGATAGTAGACAGCTTGTACCTGATTAAAATACTTAATTTGATTGTTGCACTCCATAGTCTGTGGAGAATTTAAGTATTATCTGTACTCCTTACAAACCCCCACTCACTACAGACAGGAGGCACGATAATAAAGGACAAAAAGTAACAAGTAATTTCACTTGGAAGTTCTTCCTGAGCAGAAGTTTTACAACATTGAAACTGCATGACTGTACAGATTTGTCTCTAAATCGAATGCTTTCAGACTTACAAGGTCATCAATGCAAATCTAAGCAAGGAATATTGAGTTAAGAGACTGATCTTTCTAGGGCAGGCCCAGGCAAAATATGGAAAAAAAAAGAATTCACATGAGCTACCTCACTGGCACATAAACGGAGACAAAACCACACTACAATGAGGTCTTCCTACAATATATTTATCTCTTACATTTACAGACCTTCCTCCTGGAAGGAAAAAAAAAGACAATTTTCCTTTCTCAACACAATTATTTAGCCAAGACCTTCAGTACAAAGCCAGAGAACCCAACATAATCCTTGATTCATCAGCAGAAACCAGACTTTAAATCCACAAAAATTCTCTCAACTACACAAATGGCAAGTTCAAAATTCGTAGTTTTCCTGCCAATACAAAATAAACCCCCTCAAACATTTGCAAACATTTTCCATTTATTTTTTTAAGTCTCACTAACTAAATATTTCTAGTTTTTCCTGAAAAAGCTACTCCAGGAAGATGAAGAAGCCAGAGAAACAACCAAGGAACTTTTGTCAGACAGCCTCTTAAAGCAGTTCATACACAGCCCTTTCAAGCACTTAGGGGACAATGATATTACAGAATAAAGTAACACCTATCTCCTTGGAACTTGGTGACAATTCTACATAATCCCCTGACAAACTGAATAATGAAGAGGATCATGTCACAATTGTGCTGCATTCCCCACTGCAAAGTTTAGGATTTAGGCACTTAGTGCACTGTATTCAGCTCAGGGGTGGAGGGCTCTGCTGGAGCAGGAGGAAGCCTTAACACAGACACGGAGAGAGGAGCAGGGGGACTGCGGGACACCAAACCTCTGGGTTTGGTTTGGGGGCCTTTCATTGATAGGAATCAATGTTTTTGTACAGCCTGCTCCCTTCAGAAACACCATTAGTCTGAAAAGGAGGTAGTGTGATAAACTCTGCCCCACTTACATAAACCAAGCATGGGGAGTCCCATCTGACCTAAATGTAGTATTTGGTTTTGTCCCAGAGAGCTCCTGTGCATGTCATTGCTGTGGTCTCTCCTAACAGCTGAGTGTCAGTGCTGATGTTACAGGCATGGCAAAACACGGTTAGGAGATGCAGTTTTGGTGCAGTTGATGTTACAACAGGGCCCAGAGTGTTTCCAGGCTCTCACAAGTCTCCACCTGCAGCTGAGAGGCAGCAAAGTCGTTGGCTGACAGAGACTGAGAGAGGTGTCTCTCCCTGCTACCCCCTTTCCCCTTTACTCCTCCCTTCCCCTTCTCTGTTCCAGTCACATCCATCCATCAGCACTGGCTCTGGAACTTGTCAGGCTCTTCCAAGCTGCTTTAACTCAATAACGTGGTCATATTAGTGAGGTTAAATGGCTCCTGGAGGGGCCTGATGTGCATCAGCTCTGGCACAGGACTACAGACAGGAGCAGCAGCTCTCTGCAGGGAGCTGCTAAGTTGGTTTACATCTTCTCTGGAACCATATCACACAAGTACTGAGGCATGAGATAATGTGTAGGTAAGATTTTTTCAGTTAAGTTAGAGACTTTTGAGAATAACACATTTTGGATTTTGTGTTTATTGCGGAGTTCGTTTATTTTTGGGGTCTTGTTTTGTTTTAAATCACTTTGAGCTCCTTTTTAAAGCAAAAATATACCCCCACATACTTGGCTGGTAGTGTATA